CCCATCTCGATAAAGGACACGCCTCCAGCGGGGGAGCCTAAAACGCCGAGAGGGGAGAAAAATTATAATTCCAAGAACAACAAAAACAACAAGAAGACGGAACAACCACAAGCTCCGAGTTACAACAGCCGAGCCCTGGCTGCGGCGCAGTGGTGCTGGCGGGCGGCGCCTCTCGCTGGCGCTCCGCCAGCCAGCCCTGTCCGCGCCCCGCCCCGCCCGGCCCCGCCCCGCCACACCACGTTGCACCCGTGTCACAGAGAAGAGGGTGCCCGACTCCACTAGCAGCTCTGTAGACCGACCTAGCGGCTTGGTGGTCTTAGCAAATGTTGGTTAACGGAGCCAAGTTGCGTACGCGTGTTTGATTTTATTTCACATTTATTAATGACTGTGGAGTTGCCCCGGTACTCGGGGTACGGACCTTGTGCTTCCCCCATAGCTTTCTTTTAATCTTCCTGGTTTATTCTCACGAATGTTTCTGGGTGTCCTCGATTGGGTATTTTCTTTAGGTCTTCTGATGTTTTTCTGGAATTTTCAATAGGAAGTAGAGTTTTGAGCGCTTTTGGCTCATAATACAATGATGCGCTGAACAAGTTCACGCTTTCCAGGGTACAGGGTGTGACATGGCGAGAAACAATTCTTTTTGTTATTTTCATCTTTTGTCCGGGAGGGGTGTGTTATTCGAGAAGTTACGACGTCCAAGTTCCTCGGGGCGTATAGCCCCGGACCGAATCGCCGCCATGTCCAGCCAGCGAATCAGAAATCATGCTGCATTAACTTCAAATTATTACACGATAAAAATACGACTAGACCGTCCGACAGTAAAAATCCCCTCCATTCAAAGTTTGTGCGCGCTCAGCTCTGCTTGGGTCCGCACCCCCGCAATGGGCTAGGCACGAACGAGGTACAGAAGAAAACTATCAACTAGAACCCTTCACTGTGAAAAATTGTCGCACCGGAGGGCTGGAAAATTTTCCATAGCAGTTGACTTACAATTACAATTCAAAATTGTAAAATGTACAAGCCCTGCGTATCGACTTGGAATTAAATAATAAGCAAGAGTGGGATTTTGTGAAAGTTCGACTCATTTTTGTAAATTTACATTTATGTAAATGTGAATTTACAAAATACCAGGTGGCTTATTCACGCCGCGCAATTTCTTAGTTAGACTGTACCGCATACCGCATGCACGTGTGCGGGCGGGTTGCCCACTCTAACGGGGCTATAAGAAGCGAGCAGGTAAACCCGCTCGCACCCGCGCATGCGTAAGAAAGTGTGCGGCGTGAATCAGCCACCTGGTATATCGCGCTCAAAATAGCTTTGTCCGTTTGGCTCTATATAGCACTGGAGGAACTTTCTTAAACTGAAATATTTCCAAACCCCTCCTCGCCCATCCTCCTAATCTTAACGTCGAAATACTTTGGTCGAGGCTTTGGTAGCCCCTGTCAGGGTAGGCCGGGCCGCCATGCATGGGTGCGTGCACCAACCACTGTTGCCTACCCACCAGGCGGCTCACTACAGTTCAGCCAATGAAGACTTCACTAGTTGCTCGGATTTTTATTAAACTTATCAGACTTAAAACAGAACACTTCACTACACCATTAGCTTTGCATTTAGTTTAAATTTCAAACTGTTATAAGTTGTTATGGCCCACTCGGCCTCAATGCCACCATTTGTTATCCGCACACAGTGCTGCTGATTTGTCCATATGGTACTCTCGAGGTTACGCAGCACAAAATCATCCCTAAGCGAATTCGCAAGGACATCAGAGTGCATCCACCCATCCATCCACCCATCCATCCCCCAAGCAGCGTCTGCATGATGAATCGCCCCAGCAGCCTGACACCGGCTCAGGACAATAAGCCCGAGGAGGGGAGGGAAGCGGAAGTTGGCACTTTTGTCTCGTTCGGCACATGTTAAGTTTGGAGCCCCCCATCCCTTTCGGTCCACGCCGCGCGCGTCACGCTGCTGCACCCCTCCCTGCCTCCCTCCCCTGGCGAGTGTGACTTGGAATCTAATCGTGAGTAGGAATACATCCACCTTGCAGGGTGCTCCAGGAGGTGTCGCCTCCCCGGCCCAGCCTCCCCGGCCCAGCCTCTGCGACCACCCCGCGGGACCCTCTGCGAAGCTGTGGACCGCCCCGCCCGCCCTGCTGTCCCCATTCTTTATCGGATAGCCATTCTCTCCTCCACCCCCTCGCCACCTCGCCGTCACATGAGGGTAATGCGCTCTCGCACACACACTGGCGCGCACACACACACACTTTCACACACACACACACCAGCACTCACACACACACGCACGCCACAATCGGGGACCTCAAAGGCGGTCGCAACAAAGTGGGTACTTTATTTCCGAGTCTCGCGGAGCGGTTAGGCCCGTTTTGTCAAAGGGGTGGTGATCCGGGCCAGATAAAGAAATAATCTCCCATACTTTATATATGGGCGCTAAGCCCCCGGGGGCCCGTTCTGCCCCGCTATCTCGCGCTCGCGGACCCGGTGCCCGGCGCAGAGCCACGCGAGCCCGCCCCACCCCCCTGCTGCCCTAGCCCGGATTAGATCCAGGCGCATAAATATGCCTCCGGGATGCAGTGAGGCTGGAAATATTGGGAGTCGTAAGCAGCGTGGCGGGGTGGGGTCGGCCATCGTCACCCTCGCGCCCAGAGCTCGCTCTCTCCTCGAGGCCCCTCCACGCTACGCCTCCCTAGTCCATCGCGCACGTCCGAGGCCTAAGCCCCTCCGCCCACCTCGCCCCGCCCC